AATCTTTGAATCTGATTCTTGTCTCCATCATCATCATCATCATCATCATCTTTTTTCTGTCAACTCTCTCTCTCTCTCTCTCTCTCTCTCTCTCTCTCTCTGCGTAGTTTTTTTTTCAAACTTGTTTAGTTTCCCGGTTGACATTTTTTTGACAATTTTTTTTCATATTATTTCATCGGTGCTGGATATATACTTACATGTGTGTGTGTGTGTGTGTGATTGGCATCAATTTGACACCGAATATATTTGTGATGCGGATATTTTTTTCGGAAAAAAAATGCAATGGATGTGAAAAGAGGTGTGTGTGTGTGAATGTTTGATATTCGTTTCATTTCATTTCGGTGATCATAGTATATTTGTGAATTTTCTACTTCTTCTTCTGGATATAAATCCAGATAATCATTTTAATATTGACAGGTTTGTCATGATGATGATGTTATCATCGATTATCATGTTTGTTGATTACAAACAATAATAATTCATAAACAACGTGTATCAATATGGATTGTCAAATTCGATAACAAAATGATAAAATTTAATAAAACTTTTCAGAATGAATTGAATTTCATTGCCAAAATGATAATGATGATAAAATCTTTTCTTCTTGTTGTCTGGCATTTCAATCAAATTAAATCAGCCAATTTCATTTTTTTTTGTTGCTTGGTTCGATGAATTTTTTATTCATTGTCGGTTGGTTTGTTTCTTTCATTAATTTCACTTGGAAAACTTGTGAAACTTTGATTTTTTTTGTTGTAGTTGGAAACTTTTTTTGTTAATGAATGATGTTCGGTGCATAGAAATTCATTTTAAAAAAGATTTTTTTCTGTTTACACCGAAATTTTTTGGAAATTCTTTCATGTGTGCTTTTCAATATGAAAAATTTCAACAAATAAAAAAAGAAACAATTTAAATTATTAACAACGATGAAAAGAGAGAGAAAGAAAGTTTCCTGGAAACTTTTCATCATTGTAATATTTACACTTTGAATTATCAAACAAAAAAAATTGTTTACCTTTGCATGTTTCATTTATTTTTATTATTATTATTATTCAATTTTCGAAGCAAACAATGAAATTTTTTTTT